GGAATGTGGAGAAAGTATTTCTGACAAATGAAAAATTGTGCCTTTTTTCTTATAAGCAAACAGATGACTTCCTAAGTGCTTTCCTATGCATTTACTTCGAAGATGAGTCAAAGGACACAAACTCTACTTCATTGAGGTCTGTCAAGGCAGTCAGTGCCTGCGGCTATGGGATGTGTGTGGTTTATCTGCTGCAGGAAAAGCTGCAAGTGGACACACTGTAGGTGTTCCTGCAGAAGCACCAAGCTACACAAGACAAGTTCGACACTGGAACAGGAAAGAGGGTTGTAAAAAACACAAGCCACTTAATTTGGTTCTTGAAAGCATTACAGAAGGAACTATTCCTGTGTTCTATGAAACACTTCTGAAGCCAGTTCTCTTCCTAGTTGTTCCTTTTAAAAGTGGAAGGAAAATGTTTTTTCTTATTATTGCATTGGACATTTATAGTAAAAGTTTGCAGGTGCTTACGGCTTTCAGCCACAAGGGTGCTAAAAAAAAAAAGAAAGCCATCACTCCAAAGCCAGCTCCAAAGGACATCCAGTGAGCTACCTACATGACACAGGGTAAGACAGCAAGGGAACCTTAGGGAGAATTAGACCCCAGCTCACTCTGTATTGGAAAGGTGGAAGCCAAGTCCCCTTTCTCTGTGTGACTGGCTGAGACCATCTCTCCTAGGAGAGTGAAAGTCATCAAAGTGGGAGGAAAGGTATGTGCTGGGGGTGACTGGGGGCCCCACCGCTCACCTGCTGAATGAACTGCTGTGACTGGATTTGTGATCTTTAAATTTCAATTTCCTCTTTTGTAGAAGGAAACGGCTATTGTTAGATACTTACTCGTTGCATTTGGACTCCCACTTATGTTTTCAAATTGTTTTAGAAAGGAGGGAGGAGGCAAAAGAAAAGAGACAAGAATCATTAAATTTTTCTTTTATTTTTAAAGATATATGCTTCTTCATAGTGGAAGGAAAGCTGTATTTTTGCCGTTAAATATGCTTGTAAACTATTATACATGGGGCAAATTACCTGACAGATTGTTTTTCCTAACTTGGAAAGCATGCTACTCACCGACACCTGCTAGGTGTGTCATTAGCTTCAAGGTGTCCACAGTGAGGAAGAGGTGGGAGGTCCGGAAGTGGGGCAGGGGTGACAGAAATGGATAGCAGAAAATGCCATGAATACATTGCACTGGGCCTTACACTTTTGCTGAAGGGCATAAGGACAACTAACAAGCTCAGTGTCTCAGAGAAACATCTTATAAAAAAATAAACACCGGAGCCTGTCCTGTTGTTGTTGTTGTTGTTACAAATAGGTTGGAAAAATCCTGAGAAATACTTTTGTCATTTCTTAAAGTTTTGAAGCACAGCTTCCTCATCCCTGAAATGGGAGTATGAAGACATTCTATTATAAACACACCATTATAAAACTCTGTAAAGTCTAAAGATACGAAAGAAAGAGTTCTTGGCACACAGAAAGTACAGAAGAAATGGTTAAATGTCTTAGTCCTTTTTAGGCATGAGAATTTGAACTGAGAGAAGTGGAAAAATTCACCTAAATTCACACAGTTGATTAGGAGCAGAACTGAGCCAAGAATATCAATCTCCTAATTACACACTGGAAGGTATTTTATTTTAATAACATATTACAGTAATGTCACAAGATCTCATGGCCTAGGAAATAGAACAACCAATAAAGCAAGAAGCTGAGCCGGGGCCTCATGCCTTTCCATCACACTCATTAGCTCAAGAAAACTGCCTTGTGAACTGCATGGCTGCATTGCCCAACCAGACTCCACTGGAGGTGAGCCAGTGCTACCCAGGGTCTTATGGAAAGCAATTGACTCTGGCCATTCAGTCACGCAAACTGTGGAGAGGGGTTAGATGACAAGGGAAGCATGTTTTATTTTGTGTTTGACTCACCTGTGCTTCACATGTAACCTCAGGAAGAATTAGGACTTTTCTTTAAACTCTGTCCACATAAAGATATATTTTAAGTTGGGTGAGGTTTCCATTGAATAAAGTTTAACAATATCATATTCAGCTAATAAACTAGAAGTTTGAGGCAATAGATGATTTCATTGGGATCTGAAATAACTGCAGAATAAAAGATCGCTGAGAGCTATGTTTATTTTTGCAGGGGTTGAAAGGAATGTATGAAGAACATAAAATTTCATAGAAAAGAATGTCTGTTTCCTATTTGAACTTTTTAGTTTAGCTATGAGAAATGTAACTAAAATACAGAGTTTATTTCAAATACTCCATTCTGTACTGTTAAAGTTTGAATTGTAATCATTATCAATATCCAAGGGCTAATGTCATCCATAAATATACTCACGTTGCCAAACAACATTTTAATGGATTAATAGTAGAGATAGGTAGAAACTTTACTATGGGAAGATGTATCATGTATTCATTCAGTCAGCAAATGTTTTTTAAGCAAGTGATACATCAGTGAACCATAGGGGAAAAAAATCCCCTGCCTCACAGCTTACAGCCTATGAGAGAAGACAAACAGAAAATGCAAACATAAGTATATAGTAGATCAGAGAGTTGTAAGCATTCTAAAAAACACTGGAGGAGTGAGCTTAATGAAAGCCAAGTGGGAGGGGCATGTTTTAAAAATAGGCAAAGTATGGGCCAGGGATTTAGCTCAGTGGTGCCTCCACCTGCCTCACAAGTGCAAGGTCCCAAGTTAGATCTCCAGTACCAAAAAAAAAAAGTAAGAAACAAAACAAAACAAAAACAGCAAAGTAGGAAGCAGAAAGAAGAGAGTAAACCATGCCCTATAAGGAAAGAAGAAAGGCCTAAGCCCACGAAGATGGACAAAGACTGTACTCGATGAAAGACCTCAGCGTGACCAGGGAAGGAAGGTTAAAAAGCTGTCATCAAGGTCACAGGGACACAAATGCTACCTATTGCCAGTTTATGAATGGCCACATTTTTATATTACTTATGCATGAACACAACAGTATTCCTGGATTATTTTATTCTTCAGTTAGATGTCAGTTCTTTTTATCTTCTTTAAAATATGTAAGGAAAATTTTTTAATTCCCAGTTTTTATATTGACAATGTGCTTCTGTCAATTCTTTGAATAACTACAGTAACTACAAGCTGATTTAGTGTTAACATATGTTACACAGCCTAAGCACTAAAAACACTAGAATGAGCTTCATGATGCTTAAGCAAAATCAAAATTTTAAAAACTTGACAGCTAAAATAACAAGCATTATTTTGAGAATTTTGCAAAATTCTGTTCATTAATACAGAGAGAAAAAGTTGGGGTAGATATCTTTAGTTCTCCGATGATCATTATAATTTTCTCCTTTTACAGAGTTCACAATGAGATATTGAGAGTTCAAATTATGAAAATGTGTTTGCATTTGAAAGTAAGATGCAAGATACAAGAAACTGTGCTAGACACAACAATCTGACCGGAATACTGTTTCATTTTATTGTATTTCAATCTTGGATTCGTAGATTCATAAGGTAAATGACTAATTTCTCTAGTTGGTTCTTAGGGATAAATGATTTATCAAAAATAAAAAATCACTGTGTGAAGGGAAAGGACATTAAGAAGTAATTACTGCTTTGAGGACAGAAGTATGATGGAAATACAAAGAAAGGGAGTGGAAATACTCCCCAGCATGTCTATGCTTTTGTTACAAAATTGGCCTTATAAAACATGCATACTTGGGGCAGATTATATTTTAGAGCCTAATCTTAATCCATAGTAAATTTCACCAGAAGAGATAATGGAATCTTACCTATTTTCTGCCACAACTGCTCTAAGGAAGAAAACTAATGAAACACACTTGTTAACTTTGGAGTTGGCATGGAAGTAAAGAACATAATGTCATTTAGTATTTTGGTCCACATGATACAATTGATTGAGATTCTATTAGTGTTGACAGAGTAGGAGAAATTGAAATTTTACTATAAATAAATTTATTCCAGAAGTCACTTGTCAATCTGAGAATTACAAACCTTAAGTATGCCAATGATATAAAAATGTATCTAAATTTAAGTGATCTCTTAAAAATTGATCATTGTTCAAAGAGAATTCGTTTCAGGTGAGTAGTCAAAGTCAAGAGAAAAAGAAAATCACCCAGTAAATTGAAGTGTGATCCTCTTTTAAAATTTACTTTGTAATGGGGCCAGGGATTTAGCTCAGTGGTTCCGAAGCTTGCCTCGCAAGCCCAAGGTCCTGAGTTCGATCCCCTGTACCAAAAAAAAAAATCTACTTTGTAATTTCTGGTACCTCTGGTTACTCTGTCTTCTGTAAGGGGAAACTGGGTCATTACATGGCAGCTTTAGTGTGGTGTTGCTGCTATAGTGTGTCTCAAGAGCTTCCTTTTACTGTCCTAGAATAAGAAGTACTCACAGCTACTCCCATATCAAATCTGCATCCACTTCCTCTCCTTTAGTCCATTATCATGGATGGGAGATTACCCAGGACAAGAGGAATTCACGCATAGGCAGATCACCTTGCTCTCTAGAGAAATTCAACAAGGAAGTCCAATGTGGTAGCCCAGGATGACTGGCCAGCACTGAAAGTCACCTCATACAGGGATACTCACAGCTGTCCTGAGTCCTACTTGCTTTTCCTCAGTCACAGAGATCCCCACCCTCAATCTGGTCACTTTCTTACCTGATAAAGATCAAATCAGTTTCCATTCCTAAAGTGAAACTGTTTCTGCTCACACAAAGCGTGGAACAAAAGGTAAGTAGTCTCTTAGGTAATTTACTTTTCAATTCTGTCATGGATTATAAGTTTCATAGTAAACAAAAAATTCAATTGTCTTTCATTTAGATATAAGAATATCCATTTAGCACCTCAGAAGTAATGCCTAATGCAAAATTAAAAACATTTTCTAACAACCACAGGAAGACTGTTTCTCTAGACATAGAGTTATACACTCTCTACAGAGGAAATCTCATAAAGTTTTTAATCTAAAAATCTTTTGACTGCTTTACACATAACTTTCTTATTTGAAAGAGGATTAATTTTTATTTTTCATCAGAAACTGCCACCAATCTGTTCCAAACTTTCCTTATAGCATTTTTCACATCCTTGTTCCTAAAAGTATAAATCAAAGGGTTGAGCACTGGAGTTAAAATGGTGTAAAAAATGGCCACCATTTTGTCAAAGGAGAAGGCAGAGGGAGGCCGTGCGTATGTAAATATGCATGGGATGAAGAACAAAACCACAACAGTGACGTGGGACCCACAGGTGGACAGAGCCTTCCTCCGCCCTTCAGAACTGTGCTTCCTCAGGGAAAACAAGATGACACCATAGGACACAAGCAACAGGGAGAAGATGATAATGCAGATAGACCCACTGTTGGCAACCACCAAAAGGCCAAAGACATGAGTGTCAGTGCAGGCGAGCTTCAGTAATGGGAATAGGTCACACATGAAATGGTCAATGACATTGGGGCCACAAAAGGGGAGGTGGAAAGTGAAGAGAATTTGGATGATGGAGTGCAGGAAGCCCCCTGTCCAGGCTGTGCCCACCAGAACACAGCAGAGCCTCCTGTTCATGATGGAGGAGTAGTGCAAGGGCTTGCAAATGGCCACATAGCGGTCATAGGCCATGGCAGTGAGGACAATCACCTCCACCCCAGCAAGGAAGTGTTCAGCAAAGAGCTGCATCATGCAGCCTTCAAAGGAGATGGTTTTCCTCTCACAGAGCGAGTCAGCAATCATCTTCGGTGTGATGACTGAAGAGAAGCAGGCGTCCAGGAAGGACAGGAAAGCCAGGAAGAAGTACATGGGGGATTCCAGCAGAGCAGGGCTGCAGACAACGGTCACCACGATCAGCATGTTGCCCCCCATAGTTGCAATGTAGACCAATAAAAACACCACGAATACCATTTTCTGAAATGTTGGATTCTGCGAAAGTCCCAGAAGGACAAATTCAGTCACAAAGCTCTGGTTTTGCATGATTTCCAAACGAATGGTAAAAAAAAAATCAAACAATGAACATGTAAATCTGGAATTATGATAAAAATTACTTCAAACAAATGTGAAACTGTACAGTCATCAACAAATTGGTACAACATTATGCAAACTTTTCTTGAGTGTTTTTATTAACACTGAAAACACAAAATTAGAAATTTGTTGAAGGCAGTAGCTGGAGATCAGGCAGAATTCAGGTGGAAATGACTTACTGAATACTTGAAAAGAGCCAGCTTTTCAATATAGGTGGAAGAGAAGAATGCATGTGTGGCTAAAAAGAGAAGAAGGTTTCATTTTAGCCGAGAGCTCTGATCATTGTCCAGTGGCCTCCAGATGTCCTTTATTGAAAGGCATCCTGAAAGATTGTTACTTATTGAACATGTCTGTTGTAGGTGTGGAATGCATTGCGGATAATCAGTCTGCCCTCCTTGTTCAGAACACTGTCTTACCTAGCTACCAACAGAAGAAAAAGTGAGAGGTAGTTTAGAAAGCACTAGAAAATTATGCCTACTTTTCACAAATTTCTTTAAAGCATTGAAAAGGGTTGGGCCTTTAAATGTATTCATTCATTCTTCACAAAACAGAACGGCCTATGGGAAGAGCCTGGTGCTTTCTTGATGCCAAGGTAGATACACATTATTGACTTTCTACTTCTTAGTCATCATTTAAGAAGTGAAGAGAAGTTAATAAAAACATCTCTGTCTTGATGGCTAAGTGAAGTAATAGGAGGAAAACAGTTGCTTGGGACCCACTGCTTCCAGAACAGTCTGTAATAGTTCTTATTATCTCTATTATGTTGGTGGGAAATTTATACTTCAGATCATCAGAAGAGGCTTGGGATTTTAACACAGAGCTTCCAGTGTCAGCAGTCACATGATTTCTACTGGCTCAACAAGGAAAGGAGTTGAGATGTTTCTTTTCCAGTAGGAATTTGAGAGGAGAGGTGGTCCTTCCTCAGTCTCCATCCATCTATAAGAAGTAGAGGCTCTGGTTCTTTGGGTCATGTGTGAATGAGGCCACTGGATGTAGGTAACAGAGCAAATGACATGGAATCAGAGGCGATGGTCACTCACCAGCACATGAAGATTGGCAACAACTACCCAGGAGAGGTAGAAAGACAACAGGTTAAACATACTTCAGCGTCTTCAGACTTCATTCTTCCAAATGAGTTATACAATACAACCCGGTCTGAACAAATACAACTCTTAAAGGTATACTATATTATTATAAAGTCATATTTATTTGACTTTATGGTGAAACAAAAATGTCCATTAACAGTGTCACTGTGTGTCTCCCAAGATTATATAAGGGTCTACCATTTTAAAATGTGAGAATATTACTCATGATAAAATGCCCTTAGCAATTATAGTTGTAATTCACTTGCTTAAAAGCCCAGCTGCCTTACAAATGGAAAGCTTTTCTATGAGTCCTCCAGACGAGTTCTCCAACATTGAGTTCATTTTCCACAGATAGACACAGCTTCAACAAGCGGTTGTCCCCTCACCGGTTATAAGAAATATGCCAGCCAAATAGCGTTTTTGTGTGTATTTTATGGGCAAATATGCGTGTGTGTATTTCTTGTTAAAACAGGTAAATAAAAGAATAATCAAGTTTATTATGAGAATAAAAATAGGCTGACTTTTTATGACTGTCGCTTAGAATTAACAGAAGCATCTTTACATGTTAATAAAATTAATATATACAATTAATGTATACATTAGTATCTGTCCTTTTTCTTACTTTTTTTTTTTTAGTTTTTTGGAAACAGGGTCTCACTATGTATCTCAAACTGGCCTCAAACTCTCACTGTTCCTCCTGCCTCAGCCTCCTGAGTGCTGGAATTATTACAGGTCTGTGCCACCACGCCCGACTATCCTTTTGCTTGCTTTAAAACAACCACTTCCATTATATTTTCAGGTTCATTATTTCCAATGTCTGCACTATGAACAATGTATCCACTCAGAAGCTATCACCAAGGACAACAAACTAAGAACAAAACCTGTAAGGTCATTCAGTCACACAAGAGCTATTTATTTTAAAGAAGATCCTTGTATACTGCAGCAGAGGTCAGTTTAGGATCCAGTTGGGGTAGGCAACACAAACAAGGAAAACGAGTAAGAATTTGGGCTTCAGATGTGAGCTCTGGTAGATATTCTCCAGCATGGAGCGGGTTACATAAGGTTCTTAAGATTCTCAAATTTTCTGGGTTCACTCTGCAAAGGGTATGGGAAGGGCTCTCAGTAGGTTTCTTGTAAGAATCAGACTAGGCCTTTAGGAAATCTTGAAAATATGACCATGATACTGAGTCTGTCCATATCCACTCCTGCTTCCAGTAGCCTCACCATCCAGAGAAAACTAAGCACCTTAATTAATCTAATATTAAATAATCGTTCTCTCTCCCCTTTCTGACGCATAAGAGAGAAATAAGATTTCTGAATTAAAATACTCATTAGATAAAAGCAAAGCAATCCTTTTTTCCCCACAGGAAGGAATTTCCAAAATCAATATTAAAATATTGACAAATGGAGAAACACTGTGTTTGTAATTTATGGTCACAAGGTTTACGATTTTAAATCATTTAAAAAGTAATTGTTCTAAATGCACTCTGCTGTGCAGCAGTGAGCCCTGCCATGGCAAAAAGACAGTAGTGGGGAAAATTCAATAAATGTAAATAAAACCTGCATAGTGAAAAGCATTGTATTTGTGTTTACCACATAAATTTGACAAATGAACTTGTGATAATGTAAGATGACAATATTAAAGGCAACTGAGTGAGTAATAAACAGGAAATCTTTATACTATCTTATTTCTGTAAATGTAAGATTACTCCAAATAAAACGTTGGGTTGAAAGAAAATTTGTTTTTAATTTTCTGCTATGTAAAAAGCTAGCAATTGCACCGGCAGCATCTGATAGCCATGTTTCATTGGACAGAGCATCACACACTGAGTGTTCTCATGCAGGAGAGAATATAGTGTTGTTAGGAACACACTCTGCGAAGTATAAAAGAAAGATGTGAATACTAATGCCAGCATTCTTTAACAGTGTCAACATCACAAAGTGAGGTAAAAGTTTTTTATTCATAAAAATAAAATATCTTCTTTAGTCATGCTTTTAAGAAAATTCGAAAATTGCAATAAAATTGATTCATTCCTATAATCTTTGGGAAAATATATTGGTAAATAATTTTAGAATTATAAAGATGTTTTTATTTATCATAGTAACTCCAACCCTAAATATTTATTTTAAAAAATGAAGAGATGGGAAATGGCTTTTCTGTCTTTCCACTGGTGCCCTTCCCGATGGAGAGCTGAGCTTTGTTTTCCACCCTTGTCTTGTAATTTAGCTCCTGCTAAGGGTGAGGTCAGCCCGTGACACCCAGCACTAAGACAGCTCAAGGTTCCAGCCACTTAAGTTTTCTTCTCAGTTCTGGAACCTAAGCACTTCATGACACTAAATGCACTTAGGGAAAAGTAGGTGGACTTAGTTACATCAGAAGACTCCACTCTGTGCTTTGAACCACTCTTTCTTACCAGTAATGTCCCTCCCAGTGCCATTTGTTAGTGCATGGTTGTGGTGAGAGTCAATTTTATGTTCTCTCAATAACTATAAATAAATACAAATTTCAGTCCTCAAGTTCACTTTGCTCTTATATCAGTATTGTTTATGCAGCTTCAAAACATTCTGCTTTTTAACCTAAACGTGAGGATGGGGAGATCTTTACAGCATGAAAGAGATATATTTAGAAAGAACAAATAAGATACTACTGCAGTGTTAACAGCAACATGCACACATGACATCTGTAAATTATTTCATTTTAAACTAAAAATAAAAAACTGACAATAGTTTTCATTTCTTTGGAGTTGAAAGAAAGAAAAGAAAAAAGGAAAGATGAAAGGGATGAAGGGAGGGAGGAAGAAAGAAGGGAAGAGAGAAAGAGAGGGGGCAGAAGAGAGGAAGGAAGAAAGGAAAGAAAAAAGGGAGGGAGAAAAGGAGTCAGGGAGGAAGAAACAAAGAAGGTAGGAAGAAAAGAGAAAGGAAAACAGGAAAAGAGAGAGAGCAAGACTTGCTTCTGTAACAGCGGCTACCTACTGGGCAAGTATTGCAGGCCAACTGCTGTTCTCTGGGCTCCACATTTATTATTTCTTCAGTTGCATATCCATCGGTCTGGTAATAAAATCCTCATTAAAAATAAGGAGTCTGAGGATGAGAAATGTGTAACTAGCTCGAGTGTGCACGGCTGCCTGGAGCCCCATGCACAAGAGTAAACAGAGCAGCCCGAGCGCAGCACACACTCTTGTGATGACGTGAATTGCACACCTCACCTCCATTCCGTTCCGTGAGCATTCTGAGGATGGTGACGTCTCGCTCTCTACAGAGAAAAGTCATTTCAGTGTGTGGCAAAGCATCATGCTTGTCTGCAACTGGCCTTCTCCGTCTAAACGCAGGAGGAAGAGACTCCTGGTAGTGAGTGGAGGATGCTGCCAGTCTGCGCATACGCTGCCTCTAACACAGGCTCAGCAAAGCTGCCTCCTAGTTCACCAAGTGGAGTTTAAAGGGGTTTCTCGCACAGGTCCTGAGCACGTGCACTTCCTTCTATTCTCCAAGGATTTGGCAATTTTCCATCAGCGTGATTTTCCAAGACATAGTTTTGTGTGCTTGTATGTGTGTTTGTGTGTATGTGTGTGTGTGTGTGTGTGTGTGTGTGTGTGTGGAGTGTTCCCTTGTTTGAGGTTCATAAACTTTCATGACCCCAAACAATCTGAGATTTTTATTTTCTTCCTTTTTTAAATCTGCTTTTCAGTTTCTGTTTAATCATGCCTCCATTTCCTAACATATTCAAGAATAAAACATGGTCCATATGGAGATGCAGCCGAGGGCCTATTGGCAGAACTCAGGAAAAATAATTGTGTACTCAAATGACAGACTCACTGAGAGAGAAATAGGGCAAATAATTCCCTTCACAATAGCATCCAAAACACTGCAATACCTAGGAATCGACCTAATGAAAGAAATCAAAGACCTCTTCTCTGAAAACTATAGCAGTCTGAAAAGAGAGATTGAAGATGATATCAGAAAATGGACAGACATCCCC